CTAGCAAGTCCGTGGCAGTACCATCACGGACATGTTATGTCCGTGACGGTAAAAAAAATCATGTGGAAGCATCATGGACGTTGCGCCGTCCGTTGCGGGTCCGTTCAATAAACCGCCGCAGACATAGCAAGTCCGTGGCGGGCCGAAATACTATTCATTTTCGCCTATAGACTTTTTTTAGAGTTTTCCATATATATATATATATATTTATATATATATATACTTCGACCGAAAGCATTTCCCTAACAAGTCTCCATCCTTATTTTCAGAGCAATTTCCATCTGGTATGAATCTCGTGATTGGTTTTACTCTCTTTGCAAGCGTGTGATGGAGCAAGATTGGTCTTGGAACCGTCCAGCCTTGGACTATATGGAGCTCTACCATGCAGCCCGTAAAGATTGACACCACGAAGTAGAAGACCTTGAGCATGGCAAGGCACGCATGTTCATATGTGTTTACTTGTACAGGGCATTCAATTTATTAAGAGTATTTCTTATGCATCGGCCAACTGATAAGAGTTGCTGTACCCCCATCATCAATTTAATAAAATGCTGGGTGTCTGCAAATTGTTTAAAGGAAGATTGAGGGAAGAAGGGAGATGAGAGATGCATAGGCATGCTTGCAGAACTGTGCAAATGAGAGAGGCATAGGCATGCTTGCAGAACTGTGCAAATTTTTCTTGCCATTCCATTTTATTTATTTTTTGTACAGAGCACTGAATAATAGTAATTGTCCAACTTGTTTGGTTGCTCGATTGGTGACTGAAATGCAGTTCGTTAGAGATGAGATGCAAAATGAGGCCTAGCCGCGCCAAAGAACATTAAATCCACCCTTAACCCTAGAAATCTTAAAAAACCTTGTCACTGAACTTTGGGCTAAAGTTTTAAGGCCAAAGCATGAAGTAGGGATAAGTATATTGTGAAGTAACGTTTAGAACTTAAATGACTTTGGAAACGAGTCTTGAAATGCGTTAAACGGATGTACGAGTGAAAAATTATATACCCTAGAAAAGCATATTGCAACAGAAAAAATAAAATAATTTGCTTATTTTGCAGTTGGTTAGACTTAAGTGTTTAGGAGCTCGAAAATCTTTTCTTCTTTTTCCGAATCATTCATCCGGTTATTTGTCAAAGTTATATCAAACAACTCCTCCCAATGTCGTCGAGGAATGTACAATTTGCTCCCATGGGCGTATGTAAGTTCTCTTACTTTTTAGTCTACCCTAACTTTTTACTTAAAAAAAGGGCAAAAAAAAAGGTAAAATAAATACCAATTGGATCGAACAATATTGAATTGACTGTTTTTTTTTTGTTTTTTTTTTTTTTTTAAACGTAGAAAAAAAAAATGACTTTGTTTTACAAGGAACCAATGAATCCCAATCGTTCCAGTTCATAGTGAAATTTAGAAGACTTAAATGTTATATCCGCTCACTGCCAGACTCTTGCATTGTCCGCCTGTGGCCAGATGATCATCCAATTTGCCCACCCAAATTGGGAGTTTAAAAGTTTAAGGGAGTGGGAAGTCACCTGGAAACTCCATTACCAAAGGAACAAATAACAAACTCGATAAAATATACTTAAATATAGTGGTACAGAGACAGAGAGGTAGGAGGAATAACTACTGGATGGAGCTAGTGTTAGATTCTACTCTGTATGTTCTTTCAGCCCACATCACAAGTTTTATGGCTTTCAAGAGTGATGTGCAAAAACAAGGTGAAGTGAAATTTTGTGTAGGATTGTCCCTGAAATCCGAATGCTCATAATGTTTAGAGCGTAGGATGCAGCCAATTGAGTTACGAAGCAGAAATTTTGGAGGTTCATGGGACCTTTAATATTGGCTAGTCACTCATATTTGAACCAAACTTCTTCTGGTTTGACACAAAGTGTGTTTTGACATTCTAGAATGACAAGTCCAGTCGAGCTGATTTAGTTAGCTTGGGACTCAGTTCTTCGGTCCTCATTAATGGTTGGGAAAATATCTCTGTATTTTTATTTTTAGGTTTCATTTTTCAATAGACCCAATGTTTCAAAATATATTTTAAGCATAAAGATCTCATGTATTATATCTTCAAACCCTTTAGATTAATTTTATCCACTTTGATTTTATTTTTTTAGTGTAAACAAATTTTAAAAAGACATGCCTTTTGTAAATCCCACCATCTCTCTTCGGGTGATTTTTTTGAAACTTTTATCTTTCTCTCTTTCGGTATTTCCCCAACTCTCTCTCTATATGTCCCCCCAACCCCTCTTTCTCCAACCCCTCTCTCTTTCTCCTACCCGCCCCATACTCTCTCTAGAATCTCTCTACTTCTCAATTCAAAGCTTCAGGAGTTTATGGAAATCACCCATCTGATTCAACCTCCTAAAACGAGTTGTGCGGCTTTCAGCTTGGGTTCTTCTCTCAGGGAGAACCCCCTGCTTCTCCCTCTCCAATTTGTAGCCCCCAATGCTCCATTACTGGGGTGTGGGTTTCTGCTACCAGTTTTTACAATCCTCCTCAACACCACCACAAAAAACCAGTGCCTGCCCTTGGTGAAGATGACCATCTTCTTCACAATCCCCACCCTCTAGAGGTGTCATCAGGTTATTTGGCAAGCAATGACAGTATATGTGAGGCATGTGAGATTAGAAATGGGAGATACAATGGCATTCACCAAGCTGCAGTGATCGAGAATGGCGTATTAGACGACACATAATGCGATGAGATGGACATAAAGCTATGTGCATGGAGGGAATACGAACCCGTGAAAATCTTCGCCAAATTGATATAGACGTCTATACGTTAAGTGCCAGTAACCTCGAGGGGGATTACTATGAGCCTCCTACTGAGGTTGTTGAGATTCAACTGCCACCTTAAACACTAGAAACGGAGTTCATGCCATAGTCTTTAAGTTAATTGAGATCAACTTGGATGATGAGAACTTGGATGATGAGTCCGACCTAATGCTGATCTCCGTCAGTGTAGCCCTCTCTAAGGAAGAGAGAGCAAGATATGAGACTTTCTTCAGTAAAACTGAGCCATCTTCGCCTAGACTTACTTGGAGATGGCCGGTCTAGATCCTTAGATCAACAATCCATAAATTGTAGATCAAACCCAATGGTGAAGCCATCTAAACGAGCTCGGTGGAGGTTCAGACCAGAGCTTGCCCCTCAGATCGAGGCCAAGGTAGACAGGCTCAACAGTGCTTGATGTATATGTGAGGTCCAATGCCGAAGGTGGATGTTTAATATCGTGGTTGTTAAAGAGAAAAGGGAAAATCAAGGTATGCATTGACTCTTACAACTTGAACGCTACATGATCGGAGGATGACTTCCGCCTTATCAATCATCAAGGTGTCAATAGACTCAACAGTGAGGTCCAAAATCCTTTCTTTCTTGGATCGATATTCAAGTAACAAGCAAATAAAGATGAACCAGGTTCGGTATGCCTTTTGGTCTAAAAAATACAAGACCATTGTATTCAACAAACTTATACACCAAGAGGTGGAATTTTACATTGACGATTTAATCATCAAATCCATTATACGTGATGATCACATTAGAAAACGTTCAAGTCATATTTGAGCAACTGCAAGATGAATCTGCTAAAATGTTCTTTAGGCGTATAATCTGAAAAACTCCCGAGGATTATAGTACGACATTAGGACATCCAAATTCACCCTGTAATAAAGACTTGCAAAATGGTGCCCCCTCGAAAATTATGGGAACTTAAGTCCCTACAAGGAAAATCGAAGGTTCATATCTAACCTTTCTAGATTAATAAAGGAGGCTCATTTGAATACGCATTAATGAACCAACATTAATGAAGGAAGTTACAACCCTTCCACGTGTTCTCAATTTTCTTGCTAATATGGATTAATAAGATATCATATTAAAATAAGAGAGAGAGAGAGTTATTATAATAAATAAGAGAGAGACGTATTGAAGAAAAAAAAGAGTTGAGTCATCTTAAAATAGGAGATAGAGTTTTTATAATAAATAGGAGAGAGTCAATTAAATAAAATAACTAAGGATAAAGCAGGAATTACTTAAAAAAGAAAAAGTTAGATATAAGTCCAATTTTTTTGGCATATTAAAAATTTTGTTGTAATTGGGCCTACAAAAAAATTTGTTTTAGGCATGTTTGGGTGGACCACTAAATAGGTTCAGTATTATTATCTTCATTTGTGTAGTTTGAGCGCACACTTTTAGAGTTCCGCTTCTGTAAAAAGAAAAAAAAGTATTGAATAGAGAAAAAGAAATTAGCATGTATCATAACAGGCCCTTGATATTGTGAGAGTCAAAGCATAACTTTCCCCTTGATTTTGTGAGAGTCAATACATACTCATTATAAATTAACGGGGAAAAGAAATTAGTACGTATCTAACATTTATTTCCCTTTAATTTATAATTAGTATGTATCGTAACAGGCCCTTAAAATGTATATTTTCTATAAGAAAAGTTTTTAATGCGAACTTTATATAAGTAAACATTTTCAAGCGCATAGAGAGCATGTTAAATTTTGGAAAAATTGCATAAAGTCCTCAAAAATGAACTTCTTAAGTATTTTACCCCCAACCTAACTTTTCCTAACAACTTTTTTTCCCAAAACCATCTTTCCTAGCAAATAAAAATGAGTATTTTATTTATTTTTTATAAAAATAAAAAATAAATTGTTGTTCTCTTTTTCAATAATGTTTACATTTCATATGTTTTTCTCTTTGATCCCACATGAAATTTTACGTTATTGGATTTTATTTAGGCGAATTATTGACGGTATATATTGCTATCACATTCATTTCATGGCTAGATATATTCTTCATGCATGCATTCAAGATTTAACTCAGAGAGAATAAATTGAATCCATGTGCATGTATTTCTCACTCTCGATTATCCACTCTGTTAAAACTATTTAAAAGAATAGATGATTGGTTTGAATGTGGTATCATTTAGGGCTTGGATGTTATTAGTAGTTGTAAATATTTATTCCCTATTGTAAATTTTTTCTCTATTGGCTTGAATGTGGTATCCCCTCTATTTTTTATCATTTATCCTATTGGTTATCCTCTTGATTATCATCTCTGTTAAAACTTTTTTTCTCTATTATAATTTTAGGGCTTAAATGTTATTGGTGGGTTGTAATTTTTGGGTCTGTTTCGCTGTAAATTTTGGGTATGAATTATCCATCATATTTCTCTTATTCAAATTTAGTTTGTCATTAACAAACAAAAATTATAAAATTATGCCTAGCTCTCGTTAATTTAGTAGTAGCTCTTGTTTTTGTACGTTATATACCCCCAACAATATGCTTACCTCTTGTTAAAATTTAATTGTAGCTCTTTGAAAAAAAATCTAGTAGCCTGCCAAACTTCCACAAGTTGAAGGTTAGTATTAAAACGTTGTAATTCAATGTGTGGAGTGTAAATTGTTATAAATCTTGTGCAGAACAAAAGAAAATGGGTGATAACAGATTGATTTATAATTTTTTTGGTGGAGAATTCCGATCAAGTATCGATGGGACTTTAGATTATATTGGTGGTGATGCATGTACATTTATGATTGCCAGTAGAACTAGGTTAGATGGCATGCGAAAATATGCAACAGAACGGTTCTCACTTAACATCCACTTGATATCTTTGAAGTATTTTGTCCCGAGAAATAAAAGTTTTATTATGAACCTATACATTGACGATGATATTGTTAGGATGTTGAACGCTCATGAAGGCGAGAATCAAGTGTTTGTCTATGTATTTGATGGGAGTGAACGTAAGGTGGAAGTACTTCACATA